AGTGTGTTGATCGATCACAGTATAAATGTCGCTAAATGGTCGATGTATTTAACAGAGAGACAAGTTCGCCAGCTGACTGAAGACGTGTATTCATCCTGCTGCGTGCACGTTCATCATGCATATCGGTGAAAAACCTTCCTGGTTGGCGCCACCAGTGTTGAAATTGATCAATGCTTTTGCTTTTATAAGTGGAACATTTAATCACACCAATCATCATGGTACTACCGTACCGGTACTAGTCGAGATAACAAATATTATTTAATCAATAGTAATAATAAAAGTGATAAGTATTATTATTAATATTAAGGTTGTCAAGTGGATGGAAAAAGTTCTATTGTTGAAACTAGCAAAGAAAAAAAAAAGTATGAACAATACTAATACATATTTTCATAAAGTACTGTTAAATTGCTACAATATGCTAGAAAAAAGGATAACTGAATCGCACACACACATAAACTGTTTGCCAGAAAGGAGGTACTTTAATACAAAAACTAGGCCTGAACAGCGCCCTCAAAGTACCCCAGACTACAACAGGAAAGTTTAAGTAATTACTGAAACTTAATAAATTCACAATGCTGTTAAAACTGTAACAATACAGAAATGGGGGTGGGAAATAAAAAGAAAGGAAATGGGGAAGTGGTGGGGGTGAAAAAATATAAAGCAGCCGGGAAAAAAAAAATACTGAAGCAGACTGAGAATCTACTGCCACTAGGTGGCGCTATAAACTGGCGGTTCCAACAGAGAAAACTGAACAGGCAAATCTACATATGTGAATCAATTAACCAAATTTATACTGAAAACAAATTTAACACTATATTCACAAACATATACGTGACCCCATTTTTTTTTTATTTTAAAAATGTATATCCTGACACATTTTCGGTATTTGGGGCATTCCATGAAAAATGGCTAGTTCTTATTTGAGTTATTGAAATGGGCATTGACCACAAATGTTATCTTCTAAGAGTGTTTTTTACTAAATTAGTGTGCTTTTCTTTTTTCAATAGCTAAATTACAGTTGCTTGTTCTGAACAAATTCTATGTTTTGGATTCAGTATAGCTAATTAATCTTCAAAATTGTTTTTCATTTTAAATGTAGAATCTGTTCTCAGTTTGCTATTTGTTGACTATATGAGTTAATATATCTGTGTTTAATGGCAGTTCGCTATTATTAAAACATAGAAAAATAGATCACAGTAAATCATTAAAAAATTGTTGTGTGATGACTCACATCCATGCAAATCATTCATATTTGATTTTTTTACAGAGAAAGGATGTCTTTCCAAGAAAACATACACAAAATAATCCCAAAAGGGCCATTTTTAAACAATTCCATAGGAATCCATGTAAACATATTATTCCAAATATAACTTACACCGATATTAAAAATTCTTTGATTTTTTTGTGATAACCATATGTAGCCCTTATAACAATACATAGCACAGGTCACTGAACACAATTTCGAGATATGATGAAATGTTTCTCCTGCAGGGAAATCAAAAAATGCATTTTTGATCAATTTTCCAAGTTATGTGAAAAACTTCAGTAACTCCTGGTATAAATTTTTATTTCTGAATTTTGAACATTACATTACAGTAACCTTGATTTCAAGGATTTCTGAGTATGTACTCCCTATGGTAGCTCACTGATTTCAGATGGGAGTGCTCAGAAACCAGTTGAGCCAAAAAGATCAACGTTGAGGGCGCTTG